TTTACTCCCCTGGAGAGGCTGGAGGGAGGTGGGGATCCTGAGGACAGCGATTCATCACCGGTGGAATGTCAACCCCCAATGTTCACTGAGATTTCTCAGGATCTGTTCTCAGCCCCCCGAAAGACCCAGAAGACAAAAAAAGAGAGGAAGGCTGCAAAGGCCTTGGGAACCCGGATCCTGACCCGGGGCCAGAAGACCTCCCAAGTAGGCAGATGGACGCGAGCGGCCAACAGAGAAACTTCCACCACAGAAGATGAGCCAGAAGCTGCCCCCAGCCATGACGGCGGCGAGCTGTTGGAAGAAGCAGAAGCTGGCCCCTGGGAGCTTGGGCAGGTTAGTCCCGGGAGAGAGACTTTTGGGCAGGACCAGGCAGAGGACCCCAGATATGATAATGCCAGGAAAGAGGTGGCCGAGATCAATGGGATACCCGTGGATGGGAAGGTATGGGGGAGGGATAGCTCAGTGGTTTGAGCATTGGCCTGCTAAACCCAGGGTTGTGAGTTCAATCCTTGAGGGGGCCATTTAGGGATCTGGGGCAAAAATTGGGGATTGGTCCTGCTTTGAGCAGGGGGTTAGACTAGATGACCTCCTGAGGTCCCTTCCAACCCTGATATTCTATGAAGGTCCGGAGTCCCGGACCTTACTTTATAGTGAAGAAAGATCTCCTATACTGCGTGGTGCAAATACAGGAGCAAGAGATACAACAACTTCTGGTGCCACAAAAAATCAAAAAGCCATATTGAGTCTCGCCCACAGTCACCTGTTTGGAGGACACCTGGGGTAGAGAAAACCCAGGCACGGATCCTGCGGAGGTTCTTCTGGCCAGGATTACATGAAGATGTCCGGCGACAATGCACCTCTTGTCCGGAGTATCAGTTACATAGCCCTCGCCCGCACTTGCGGGCTCCTTTGATATCTCTTCCAATAATAGAGGTTCCTTTCGAACAGATAACCATGGATCTGGAAGGGCCCCTAGAGAAGACAGCTCGGGGCCATCAACATGTGCTTGTTGTACTGGACTATGCAACCCAGTACCCGGAAGCTGTTCCCCTGCGCAACATGGCTTCCAAGACAATAGCTAAGGAGCTAGTACAGATCTTTGCCTGGGTTGGGCTACCCAAGGAGATATTGACTGATCAAGGGACACCTTTCATGTCCAAGTTGATGAAAGATCTCTGTTCATTGCTCCATGTACAAGCCCTACGGACCTCTGTATACCACCCGCAAACAGATGGCCTTGTGGAAAGGTTCAATAGGACCCTCAAGGCCATGATCAGGAAAGTGGTGAGCCAGGATGGGAAAGATTGGGATACTCTATTGCCTTACCTCATGTTTGCCATCCGGGAGGTTCCGCAAGCCTCCACGGGTTTCTCTCCATTCGAACGTCTATATGGGCGCCACCCTCGGGACATATTGAATAGAGCCAGAGAAGCCTGGGAAGAGGAGCCAAATCCCGGAAGGAACATAGTTGAGCATGAACTGCAGATGAGAGATTGGATAGCCTGAGTTACGCCCATTGTATGGGAGCACTTGGAGAGAGCACAGGAGACCCAGCAAACTCATTGTAACCACTAATCGAAGCTTCGACAGTTCCAACCAGGGGATCGGGTGATGGTACTGGTGCCCACAGCAGAAAATAGACTGTTGGCCCAGTGGCAGGGGCCCTACGAAGCCGTGGGAGAGGTGAACTATAAGGTGCGGCAGCCAGGCCACCGAAATCAGAGCAAATTTACCACATCAATCTTCTAAAACCTTGGCACGATCGAGAGGCATGCTTCGTCATGCAGGAGACCCTTCCCCAGGAGGATAACTTACACAAGCAAGTGAGGATATCATCTGACTTGACGCCAATCCAAAAGATCAAGACAGCCAACATGATTAATCGCAATATAGATGTGTTCTCTACAAAACCAGGGCAGATGACTGAGACCTATCACCATATCCGCACAATCCCCGGAGCCAAGGTAACATTGAGACCCTACCGAATCCCAGCAGCCAAAAGAGAAGAAATCAAGGCTGAAGTAAAGAAAATGTTAGAATTAGGGGTTATTGAAGAATCTTACAGTCAGTGGTCCAGTCCCATTGTTCTAGTGCCTAAACCTGACGGTACCATGAGATTCTGTAATGACTTACGCCGACTGAATGAAATATCCCAGTTTGATGCATACTCCATACCACGCAACAACGAACTGGTTGACCGACTGGGTAGTGCCCGATTCTTGACTACACTGGATCTGACAAAAGGGTACTGGCAGATTCCTCTGACCAAAAAAGCTAAAGAAAAGACAGCATTCTCCACCCTGGATGGGCTATTCCAGTACACCATCTTCCCTTTTGGGCTACATGGGGCCCCAGCCACATTCCAGCGCCTCATGGATAAGCTGCTGCGCCCCCATACTAGTTATGCAGCTGCATACCTAGATGATGTCATCTATATGCCAGACTGGGGAACCCACTTGGAGAAAGTTGAGGCAGTACTGCGCACCTTAAGGCAGGCTGGCCTCACTGCTAATCCTTCTAAATGCGCCAGAGGGCTAGCAGAGGCTAGGTACCTGGGATATATTGTGGGAAGGGGCATAGTGAAGCCCCAAACGAATAAGCTAGAGGCAATTCAAAACTGGCCTTGGCCGACCTGAAAGAAGCAGGTCCGTGCGTTTCTAGGCATGGTAGGATACTACCGATGGTTGATTCCCCACTTTGCCACTAGGGCAAGTCCCCTAATGGACCTGGTGAAGGCCCGAGGTCCAGACATGGTAAAGTGGACTGACGCAGCAGAGGGGGCATTTACAGATCTTCGGACGGCCTTCTGTAATGACCCCGTACTCATAGCCCCGGACTTTAACAGGGAATTTATTTTACAAACAGACACTTCCAAGGTTGGGTTGGGAGCAGTTCTGTCGCAAATGGTGGGAGAAGAGGAACACCCAATCCTCTATCTAAGCAGAAAGCTTCTCCCAAGAGAACAGAAATACGCAGTAGTCGAGAGAGAATGCCTTGCTGTCAAATGGGCTATTGAGACGCTGCGTTATTACCTCTTAAGCCAGCGATTTACTCTTGTGACAGACCATGCACCCCTCCAGTGGATACAGCGGAATAAGGAAAAGAATGCAAGGGTCACCAGGTGGTTCTTATCCCTCCAACCATTCCAGTTCCGCATATGGCACAGGGCTGGATGCCACCATGGCAACGCTGATTGTCTGTCATGAGCATACTGCCTGGCGTCCCAAGTTGCCCAACTCTATGGTGTTGAGCAAGGGGGGGGGGAGGGCGGATATGTGACGGGGCAAGGCCAGATGGCTATAGAAAAGTAGTGGGAGATAGATATATTTGGTCCAGACTAAACAAATCCCTGGTGCCAGGTTAAGTGAAATGTAAGCTGCTCCAGGTCAATTAAGACACCTGGGGCCAATTAAGAACTTTCCAGAAGGCAGGGAGAAGGCCAGGTTGATTGGGACACCTGAAGCCAATCAGGGGCTGGCTGAAACTAGTTAAAAGCCTCCCAGGCAGTCAGGTGGGTGCGCATGTCAGGAGCTGTGGGAGGAAGTTGTGCTGTTGGAGAGGCTGAGTAGTACACACCATATCAGGCACAAGGAAGGAGGCCCTGAGGTAAGGGTGAAGTGGAGCTTGAGGAAGTGAGGGCTGCTGTGGGGGAAGTAGCCCAGGGAATTGTACATGTCATGTTTCTAAAAGGTCAGCTACCATAGCTGATACTATTAGGGTCCCTGGGCTGGAGCCCGGAGTAGAGGGTGGGCCCGGGCTTCCCTCCCCCCCCCCTTTGCCCCTGATTAATCACTGAGACTGGGAGACAACAGAGACTGTGCAAGGAAGGATAGCTTCTCCTCACCTCCCTTGCTGGCTTATGATGAAAGTGGCTCAGTAGACTGTGACCCTTGTCTCTAGAGAAAGAAGGGTTACGTGGAGGGTCACAGTGAGCCTCTGAGGCTAGCGAAATCCGCCAGGAAATGTGGGACCCATGGAGGCAAGGACAGAGCTTTGTCACAGTACCCTCAACATAGCTGAGCAATCCGTCACAAGTGCAGCAGTAAAATTCAGTATAATCCACCAACAGCAAGCTGGGCAGCTTCCAAGCTCCAATCCTCCCCCACCCTTTTCAGCACTTTCCCACCCAGAAATGCCTGGGGAAAAGATGAGTTTGCAATGTACCCTGAAGGCATTTGATCCAGGACCAAGTGGGGCAGTGAATTCCAATGCTGCAGAGCCCTCGCTGAGAATGTTCAGCCAGCAGACCCCTCTCATTTATGTATGGCTGCAGCTCAAGGGCTTCTCCTGGTCTCAGCTATAGTAGCACACAGAGGGAGGCACTTTCTCATCTCCTAAAACATTTAGGGCTTTGTAAGTCAATATTAGCACCTTAAACTTCATCCAGAAACCAAGAGGCAGCCAGTACAGATCATGGTGTGCTGGTCTAATATGTTTGAAGTAAGGTACTTCACTTACCAAGTGTCTGCTGCATTCTGCGCCAGCTTGCATTTCTGGATGGCTTTAAAGGATCATAAGCAACAACATTTTCTAATATATGTCCAAAACAGCTCTTCTGTAAGTCATAATGTTGTGATTACGGTTGATATCCAAATATACCAGTGCTAGAAATAAATGTCTTACATCAGTGGAATGTATGGATTCCCAGCTCTCCAGCGATATCATGGGCTATTAGACCATAATCGTGCCATGGGATCAAAGATCCTGCACCTCCCACTAGTGTAACTTGAGCCCTGGAGATAGGGAAAAGAAGGAAACATATTTGTAATTGTAATCCTTCAGGAAAAAGGATGTTTGAAAGTGGGCTGATGATTTGAAATGTTAAAATTAATCCCAGCAGAGTTGGAGAAATGGGCAGAGTGTAGATGAGGTGACCATAGGGGCATGACAAATGCAACATCTCTCACACATGCGCTATAAACATTTTTCCAGAATGCAAAATATTTACATTTGAAGTGCTGCAGACTTTCATTGCAATGAATGCCATTTTTGTTTTTCAGAAAACAGATCTGCCTCATCGGGACCTAGTTTACTAACAGTATTCCTAGGAATAGTATGCATTGGAGCACTAATGCTACCGACACTGGGGGAAGTGGAATCCGTGGTGCCTCTCTACCTCCATTTAAGTGTGAATCAAAAGCTAGTAGCTGCTTATGTTTTAGGTAAGTGTTTTGAAAAGGATTTTTTAAACAGCTTTTTTCCAGTCTCTACTGGCGTCAAAATGTCGATCAAAGGAACTTCTGTGAAATACACTGCTGGCTTGATGAGAAGATGTACTTTCGTGTCTCAGGGCCAGGGTCAAGACTAATTTCATTCTGTTCCATCTCCACTTGTACTTAGCATAGAAGGTCACAGTAGTATTTGACGGAGATGGAAGCCCTCACCATTAGAAATAAAAGTGTTCTGGATAAGTGTCTTATTTGATCCTCAAAACAGGAACCTGGCATATAGGCGTCTACTCCACCTCATTTGTCAAAGAAAGCTACTGAAATACATTGCTGTTTCCTACGTATTCTCAGCCAGGACTTCTACACTGTAAAATTGTAGTTCAGTCATCTTATCTGTTGATACTGGAAATTCCTTCTCTTCATCCCCTCTAACCCAGAAGAGATCTAATGTGAAGAGCTGTCTCCTTTTACCCTAGCTTTTAGTCATGAGAAACAGAACCGCACTTAAAGGGTGAATGGACAGGGGCAATACCTGCATCTGATTCCCAAACCTGTGACTTACTCCTTAAAATGAAAGGAGTGAGAAGGCAGCCACTTATCTCATGGAGAGAGCGCCTTGTGTTACTGATCAGCAACCAGTGCTGACTTAAAGGAAAGTAGCGTTGGACTCGCTCTCTGCTTTCCTATTGCCTGGCTGAGATCAGGACTCAAATGAGGATGAGCAGCCTGAAACTTAGGGTATGTCTACACTACGAAATTAGGTTGAATTTATAGAAGTTCTAGAATTTAGAAATTGTTTTTATATAGTCGATTGTGTGTCCCCACACAAAATGTTCTAAGTGCATTAACTTGGCAGAGTGTTTCCACAGTACCGAGGCTAGCGTCGACTTCCGGAGCGTTGCGCTGTGGGTAGCTATCCCACGGTTCCCGCAGGCTCCGCCGCCCCTTGGAATTCTGGGTTGAGATCCCAATGCCTAATGGGGCAAAAACATTGTCGCAGGTGGTTCTGGGTACATGTCGTCAGGCCCTCCCTCCGTGAAAGCAATGGCAGACAATCGTTTCGCACCTTTTTTCCGAGTTACCTGTGCAGACGCCATACCACGGCAAGCATGGAGCCTGCTCAGCTCACTGTCACCGTACGTCTCCTGGGTGCTGGCAGACGCAGTACTGCATTGCTACACAGCAGCAGCTCATTGCCTTTTGGCAGCAGACGGTGCAATAGGCTTGATAACCATAGTCATCATGTCCAAGGTGCTCTTGGCCGCCTCGGTACGGTCGGTCAGGAGCGCCTGGGCAGACATGGGCACAGGGACTAAAACAGCAGTGACTCGACCAGGTCATTCTCTTTAGTCCTGCCGGCAGTCCTATTGCACAGTCTTCTGGCAGCCAGGAGATGAGGATGGCTAGTAGTCCTATTGCACTGTCTGCTGCCAGCCAAAGATGTAAAAGATAGATGGAGTGGATCAAAACAAGAAATAGACGAGATTTGTTTTGTATTCATTTGCTCCCCCCTCCCTCCCTCCCTGAAATCAACGGCTGACAGTTGTTTCGGTGTGGTCTGTCAGGGGCACCTTGAAAAGTTTAATGGAGATTCAGTCCTGCCTGGAATACCGCGGGGAGGGATAGCTCCATGGGTTGAGCATTGATTGGCCTGCTAAACCCAGGGTTTTGAGTTCAATCCTTGAGGGGGCCATTCTGTGTGACAGTTGTTTTTGTTTCTCCTTGATGTAAAGCCACCCCCTTTGTTGATTTTAATTCCCTGTAAGCCAACCCTGTAAGACATTTGGTCAGTTGCCCCTCGTCCGTCAGAGCAACGGCAGACAATTGTTCCGTGCCTTTTTTCTGTGCGGACGCCATACCACGGCAAGCATGGAGCCCGCTCAGATCGCTTTGGCAATTAGGAGCACATTAAACACCACGCGCATTATCCAGGAGTATATGCAGCACCAGAACCTGCCAAAGCGAAACCGGTCGAGTAGGCGACATCAGCACGATGATGAGAGTGATGAGGACATGCACACAGACTTCTTTCAAACCACAGGCCCTGGCAACGTGGGCATCATGGTACTAATAGGGCAGGTTCATGCCGTGGAACGCCGATTCTGTGCCCGGGAAACAAGCACAGACTGGTGGGACCGCATAGTGTTGCAGGTCTGGGATGATTCACAGTGGCTGCGAAACATTCGCCTGCGTAAGGGCACTTTCATGGAACTTTGTGACTTGCTTTCCCCTGCCCTGAAGCGCCAGAATACCAACATGAGAGCAGCCCTCAAAGTTGAGAATCGAGTGGCAATAGCCCTGTGGAAGCTTGCAACACCAGACAGCTACCGGTCAGTCGGGAATCAATTTGGAGTGGACAAATCGACTGTGGGATCTGCTGTGATGCAAGTAGCCAAGGCAATCAAAGATCTGCTGATGTCAAGGGTAGTGAGTCTGGGAAATGTGCAGGTCATAGTGGATGGCTTTTCTGCAATGGGATTCCCTAACTGTGGTGGGGCCATAGACGGAATCCATATCCCTATCTTGGCACTGGAGCACCAAGCCGGCGAGTACATAAACTGCAAGGGGTACTTTTCAATAGTGCTGCAAGCACTGGTGGATCACAAGGGACGTTCCACCAGCATCAACGTGGGATGGCCAGGAAAGGTACATGACGCTTGCATCTTCAGGAACTCTGGTCTGTTTCAAAAGCTGCAGCAAGGGACTTTATTCCCAGACCAGAAAATAACCATTGGGGATGTTGAAATGCCTATAGTTATCCTTGGGGACCTAGCTTACCCCTTAATGCCATGGCTTATGAAGCCATACAGAGGCACCCTGGACAGTAGTCAGGAGCTTCAACTACAGGCTGAGCAAGTGCAGAATGGTGGTAGAATGTGCATTTGGACGTTTAAAAGCGCGCTGGCGCAGTTTACTGACTCGGTTAGACCTCAAGCGAAACCAATATTCCCACTGTTATTACTGCTTGCTGTGTGCTCCACAATATCTGTGAGAGTAAGGGGGAGACATTTATGGCGGGGTGGGAGGTTGAGGCAAATCGTCTGGCCGCAGGTTACGTGCAGCCAGACACCAGGGCGGTTAGAAGAGCACAGGAGGGCGCGGTGCGCATCAGAGAAGCTTTGAAAACCAGTTTCATGACTGGCCAGGCTACAGTGTGAAACTTCTGTTTGTTTCTCCTTGATGGACCCCCTCTTGGTTCACTCTACTTCTCTGTAAGCTAGCCACCCTCCCCTCCCCCCTTCGATCACCACTTGCAGAGGCAATAAAGTCATTGTTGCTTCACATTCATGCATTCTTTATTCATCACACAAATAGGGGGATAACTGCCAAGGTAGCCTGGGAGGGGTGATGGAGGGAAGCACCGGGTGGAGTGGTGGACGAGAGAAGGACAAGGCCACACAGCACTTTAAAACTTATTGAATGCCAGCCTTCTGTTGCTTGGGCAATCCTCTGGGGTGGAGTGGCTGGGTGGCTGGAGACCCCCCGACTGCGTTCTTGGGCGTCTGGGTGAGGAGGCTATGGAACTTGGGGAGGAGGGTGGTTGGTTACACAGGGGCTGTAGCAGCGGTCTGTGCTCCAGCTGCCTTTCCTGCAGCTCAACCATATGCTGGAGCATATCAGTTTGATCCTCCAGCAGTCTCAGCATTGAATCCTGCCTCCTCTCATCACGCTGCCGTCACCTATCCGCTTCAGCCCTCTCTTCAGCCCGCCACCTCTCCTCCCAGTCATTTTGTGCTTTCCTGAACTCTGACATTGTCTGCCTCCACACATTCGTCTGTGCTCTGTCAGTGTGGGAGGACAGCATGAGGTCAGAGAACATTTCATCGCAAGTGTGTTTTTTTTCGCCGTCTAATCTTCGCTAGCCTCGGGAAGGAGAAGATCCTGTGATCCTTGAAACACATGCAGCTGGTGGAGGAAAAAAAAAAAGGGGCAGTGGTATTTAAAAAGACACATTTCACGGTAAACCTTGCTGTTAACATTACATATATAGCACGTGCTTTCATTACAAGGTCGCATTTTGTCTCCCCCCACCACGTGGCTAACCCCTTCCCCCCATGGCTAACAGCAGAGAACATTTCTGTTCAGCCATAGGCAAACAGCCCAGCAGGAACGGACACCTCTGAATGTCCCCTTCAGAAAAACACCCTATTTCAACCAAGTGACCATGAATGATATCACTCTCCTGAGGTAACACAGAGAGATAAACAACGGATGTTGTTTGAATGCCAGCAAACATACGCTGCAATGCTTTTTTCTGCAATGATTCCCGACTACGTGCTACTGTCTTAGCGTGGTAAAGCGTCATATCATGGAGGATGGAATAAGGCTGCCCTCCCCAGAACCCTTTTGATAAGACTTTGGGAGTACATCCAGGAGAGCTTTATGGAGATGTCCCTGGAGGATTTCCGCTCCATCCCCAGACACGCTAACAGATTTTTTCCAGTAGCTGTACTGGCTGCGAATGCCAGGGCAAATCAATCATTAAACACATGCTTTTAAACCATGCATACTATTTAAGAAGGTACACTCACCAGAGGTCCCTTCTCCACTTGGCGGGTCAGTAGGCAGCCTTGGGTGGGTTTGGGGGGTACTGGCTCCAGGTCAAAGGTGAGAAACAGTTCCTGGCTGTCGGGAAAACTTGTTTCTCCGCTTGCTTGCTGTGAGCTATCTACAACCTCATCATCATCATCTTCCTCGTCCCCAAAACCTGCTTCCGTGTTGCCTCCCTCTCCATTGAAGGAGTCAAAGCACACGGTTGGCTGAACTCCTTAAAATGGCGTGTAGCTCATCATAGAAGCAGCATATTTAGGGCTCTGACCCGGAGCGACTGTTTGCCTCTCTGGTTTTCTGATAGGCTTGCCTCGGCTCCTTAAGTTTCACGTGGCACTGCTTTGCGTCCCTGTTATGGCCTCTGTCCTTTATGCCCTGGGAGATTTTGACAAATGTTTTGGCATTTCAAAAACTGGAAAAGAGTTCTGATAGCATGGATTCCTCTCCCCATACAGCGATCAGATCCTGTACCTGCCATTCAGTCCATGCTGGAGCTCTTTTACGATTCTGGGACTCAACCATGGTCACCTCTGCTGATGAGCTCTGTTCTCACCTGCAGCTTGCCACGCTGGCCAAACAGGAATTGAGATTCAAAAGTTCACGGGCCTTTCCTGTCTACCTGGCCAGTACATCTGAGTTGAGAGTGCTGTCCAGAGCGGTCACAATGGAGCACTCTGGGATAGCTCCCGGAGGCCAATACCGTCGAATTGCATCCACACTACCCCAAATTCGACCTGGCAAGGCCAAGTTCAGCGCTAATCCCCTTGTAGGGGGTGGAGTAAAGAAATCTATTTTTAAGAGCCCTTTAAGTTTGAAAAAAAGGGCTTTGTCGTGTGGACGGGTGCAGGGTTAAATCGATTTAACGCTGCTAAATTCAACCTCAACTCCTAGTGTAGACCAGGGCTTAGGCTAGATCTAATTGAGGTGATGGTAGTGGGATGGTGGGGAACAACTCAATTGTGTGGTGGACCCTGCGCTTTCTGGAGGTGGTTTATTCACCCTTTGTCCAAGTCTGTAATGTGGGTGTGCATTTTAACTCACCTGGTGTCAGTAGCCAAAAACATCTTCATATGAGGCTGTGGTGATAGGTTTTTCAGATCTGCATCCAGTAATTCTTGACTTTGTAACTTCTGGATGATTGCAATATGCTCTGTTCTTGAAAACCACTCAGAAGCTATAGCAGGTGCAAAATGCAGTGCTAGAAATGGGATAATACATGATTTTTCAGACAGCTGCATTAGCTTCCTTGCTTCTGGATACAATTTGAGGTGTTTGGTTTTTATGTGGTTTGGGTCCTGGTCTCTTCCCCTCTGTACCATTACAGCAGCTGATCAGATAAGGTGCTTGAGCTAATAATCTCAAGATTTAAAAGTCCAACGACTGGGTGTTCTCCCGGGAGTGAAAAGATTCCTAGTCTGGAATGTACTTTGCTTGCTTGTCCAAAGTGCACATCTGTTGACATGGAGAGAGGATGGTGCATCTTCTCTTCTCAGACTTATACCTGTAGTAACTAGGTGGGTTGGTGGGAAAGAGAAAAGTGTCTTTGCTTTTAGTTCATAGTCACTTTTTTATAGTTAAATGCTTTACATGGTCCCCTGACACATGGCATAAGTGGCCATTATGCACTATTTAATAAACCCAGTATTTGGTGTTGTGAAATGAGTTAGATAAGCTCAGGTTCTCTCCAATTCTGGTAGTCATAACTTTCTATGCTAGGGCCTGCCAGAGGGTGTGTTTACACTAGAAATATAAGTCGACCTATATTAGGTTGACTTACAGCCACTACAGTAATTACCATGGTGGTGCATGTCCACACTACCCTTCTTGGGTCAGTGGCTCACCAGGAGCGCTTCCATGGACATAAGAGGGGCAGTGTGTGGAGCTGAGAGCCTGGTTCCTCAGTTCTGCTGGCAGCTCCTGCTGGGCTCCCGGCAGGCTGCCCCCTCCCCCCCTCCCCGTTCCACAGCAGGAGCAGGGCGGGAAGCCGCCTGGGGCTCCTTAGGAAGCCGTGAAATTGATAAGACTGCCTGGCTCCTGGCAGGGAGTGGCCAGGGCCTCCTGGGTTCTCGCCCCGGCTTCCAGCTGGGAGTGGGGTCCAGCCACGCAGCTCTCCAGAGGAGTGAGAGTGGAGCTGGATTCTTGTCAATTTCACAGGTCCTGCCAACAGTGATGTAAGGAACACACAGACACTGCGTTGCCGTAACTACACCGACATAAGCCCTACGCCTCTCGTGGAGGTGGAGTTATTTTGTTGGTGTAGTAGACCACTTACATCGGCTGGAGCAAGACTGTAGTGTAGACACTGACATCATCAGGTCAACATAAGCTGCCTTATGTCCACCTAACCGTGTAGCGTAGACTAGACCATAGTATGAAGAACAGGTTTGAATGGTTGGAATGCTGATCAAAGGGAAAGTACTCCTGCAACTTTGCTCCATGAATTCTCTATCCTGGACCTCTTAAATAGAACCTGCAATTTAGGACATTGAATGGCAGCAGCAGGCCAACACCATCACATTAATTTTCCATTGTGACCTACCTGCATTGAGGCTGACTATGCTCCAGGTGCAGAGTATTAACCTCCTTTGGTACTTTCACATGAGCAAGGGTTTTTTTAAGCTATTGGTTAACTAATTTTAAACCCTGGATGATGTGAAACTCTCAATGGCCAGCAGATTTTCATTTGCCCTGTACAGTAATCTCAGAGTTAACTGTGGACTTCCACTTTAAAGATGTGCTGAGGGAGAGGATATCATGAGCATTCCTGTGGAAGGATATTTTTCGGTTCAGGGAGCACTACTTTACTTGCAGCTCTGTGTTTAGCTGCCTTTGAACTCAGTTCTCTCCACCACCTATCAGTTACTACGGAACAATTACAGGGTTCACCACAGTGCAGCATTAGGTGCTTCTGCGCTTGCAGGCCTGGACTCTAATATATTATCTGTTTCAGAATCTGGGACAGTCAGAAAATTAGGGTCAAGCAAACCAAGTCAAACAAAATCAATCACTCAGTCTGCCCAACAGAGTAGGTTCATTTCAGGTTTAAGTGGAGTGTCGGCAGTTCAGTGTTAATACTGGGGGCAGGTGAAGGATGCATGATTAGGGCTAGAGAATTTATTTGTAAAACACCAAGTTTGACACTTCTCTTAAATCTGCTCCCCTGCTGATAGGGGAAGGCCTTTGGCAGTGGAGGCAGCAAGTGGATACAAGAGCAACAGTGCCGAACACCTGTAGGCCCCTCCCCTTTCAGTGTAGCTCTACTGCTGGTTGCACACTCTGATGGGTGCTGGGGAAGAGTCCGAGGGAACTTCCCACACTGCGTAAGTGATGACAGGAAGTCAAGCTGCCCAACACGACTGTCTATAAATAAAGGTGCTGTTAAATGCATTGAGCTGAAATGAAAACAATGTTTCAGTTACTTAGTTTAGGTGGTGCCAGCAATATTTATATTAGAAAAGCACCTAAAGGCCTCAGCCAAGATCAGGACCTCATTGTGCTAAGTACTGCATGTGCAGTGTAAGACAGTCCCTGCCCAGACTCTGACTAGCAACAATAGGTTAATTTCCAGACAATCTGATCCATAATTGTTCACTGAACGTGCATCGCTTCTGCCACTAAAATCTCTGGATCTGTTCAGACTGGATGATCTAGACATGATTAGTTCTTTAGAACTACCATTTTAAACAATCATTGATTCTGATTAAGCCAAACTTTTATTGAGTAATATTTGAAAGTTATTCCTATAAAATAATTTAAGTGAAATCTGTGTAAATTTTCACTCTGTAGATTTATGCACTCTTATCTTGTTTTCTGGCCTGTGACAGAAAACTGTTAGACCTTTACTTTGAATGCTTTATTCAGTTAAATTAAACTGTTCTTCATTTCTCATCTTTCAGGTCTTATCACCATGGTTATCTTGAGGACATGAGTAATGATTTAATTGGATGTAAAAAAAGAACCCCAACCTTATGTTACTATATATTTACATCATGAATGTGGACTGCCTTTTACTCTCATGTGATGCATTAAGATGCTAGAAAAGCTATTCAGTGATTTAAAATACTTTCAAAAGTGTAATATATATCTTATCTATGTATAACTATAAATAAACAACAAGACTCTTAGGTGCTTCGGTTACAGCTATGGAATGTTTAGTGATATCCGTGAAATTATTTTGAAGAAACTTTTATATCTACATCTACTGTACAAAAGACATATTAAAGCAACATTTGTTATTTTAAATCCATGTTCACATCGGTGTTTGATCACTATAAAAGCAAACTGTTCATTCTGAAAGGTTCATTTGTTTATTCCATTGCTGTAAGTACAGAGGTTACTACATAACATTTTATGTATAAATACCAGCATGATCAGAGTTTACATAAGGCTTGTCAGTTAAGATGAAATTTGAAATTCCATCACTAAAAACTATGAAATAAATACATTAAGTTTAGATGGAGAAGTAATTAATTCTCATTTCCTGACATCATTAACAAATATATGGGATATAGGGCTCTTCTTAACTGTGGAATCAGTTATAGACTTTTTTGCATCATAACTGTAAATCATAAAACATTTTTGTAATTTTTTTATAAATACATGTAACATACAAATGTAGCAAGATATTTAAGTATAGATACATAACATCCAGCAAGAGAAAACTCACATGTCCAGGACTCCCACTTCAAAGTAGTACGGAAATAAACCTTGCCACTACGTTGGTAATGACCTGAATACGTGTAGCAACATAGCCAAGGTCCTCTATGTACACGTGTTAGACAAATATACTTGGTTTTTGTTTTGTAAGAAACTGAAGTTCAGCTTTGATTTTTATAGTTTGGAAGAATTTATACATTTCTGTTTTGTCTCATGCTGGAAAAGAAACAAGCTCTCTTTGACCTCCAAAGTAAGTATCTGTCTACTTTGAAAGACAAGCTGAATGTTCCCTACCTAGGGCCCAGTAAGAATGTGCTTGGTTCTTTCACAAAAATCTTACATTGCTTATTTATGAAAAGCCTATATACCATGCCTTGAGCTGGGTAAAAACATTTTGGAAATTAAAACCTTCTTTCCCCCTGCATATAATTCATTACCTCTCTGTTTATGTATAGAGGGGGCAGGAAAAGACCACGTAGAGATGAAAAGTTATTTAACAGTGATTGCACAAAAGATGGTGAAGTTGAAGTACTTAGGTGAGAGCTGCCCTGGATATTAATTTACATAATGAGTCTTTGTAGGAATAGTCAATAATAATGTTATTACTTTAGCTTAACTTCAAGGGGAGCTGAGGGCATGTACCATCCTGGAATAACAGAAATGTAGGACTGGAAGGGACTGCAGTGGGTCATCTAGTCCAGTCCTCTCCACTGATGCATGACTCAATATTATCTAAGTCAGTGATACTCAGTGGTTCAGGAGCCAGATTCATAGAATTGCAGAATATCAGGGTTGGAAGGGACCTCAGGAGGTCATCTAATCCAACCCCCTGCTCAAAGCAGGACCTAATCCCCAACTAAATCAGTAATCAACATCACCCGAAAGAGCTACAATAGTGTGAATTCATTGTTTCATTTACTCTAGTACTATATAGTCATACTGAAACAGTCTGACAAGGAAATATTTAGTGTGTATACATAATTCTCACAGTAAAGTGACTGACCAAGTAGTATTTTATCAACTACAATTGGTTAATAACTTAGTAAAACACTGTATGATTTAGTTATTAACCTATCATGTGCTGCAAAGAGCAGCAGGAGACAAATTTGTGACTAGAGAGCTTCAGTCTGAGTATCGCTGATCTAGATCGTCTCTGACAGGTGTTTGTCTAACCTGCTCTTAATGCTCTCCAATGACAGAGATTCCACAACCTCCCTAGGTAATTTATTCCTGTGCTTAACTGCCCTTACAATTAGGAAGTTTTTCCTAATGTCCAACCTAAACCTCCCTTGCTGCAAGTTAAGCCTATTGCTTCTTATCCTTTCCTCAGTGGATAAGGAGAACATTTTATCACCTTCCGCTTTATAGCAATCTTTTACATACTTGAAAACTTATTTCCTCCCCCCCTCCCCTGTCTTCTCTCCTCACTAAACAAACCAATTTTTTTAAATCTTTCCTCATAGATCAATAAGTGCTGGAATAAATTGCCTACGGAGGTTGTGGAATCTCCATCATTGGAGATTTTTAAGAGGTTAGATAAACACCTGTCAGCAATGGTCTAGATACTTAGTCCTGCCATGAGTGCAGGGAACTGGACTAGATGACCTCTTGAGGTCCCTTCCAGTCCTGTGATTCTATGCTTTCTAGACCTTTAATAATTTTTGTTACTCTCTTCTGGACTCTCTCCAATTTGTTCATGTCTTTCCCTAAGTGTGGTACCCAGAACTGGACACAGTATTCCCTTTGAGGCCTTGTTACTGGTGAGTCTAGTGGAAGAATTAATTCTCACATCTCGCTTACAACACCACTGCTAATACATCTCAGAATGATCACTCTTTTTTTGCACCGGTATTACATTGTTGACCCATATTTATTTTGTGATCCACTACAACTCCCAGACCTTCTTCTACAGTACTCCTTCCTAGGCAGTTATTTCCCATGTTGTATTTGTACTCTTAACTGAAGTACTTATCATTTGTCCTTATTTTCATCTTGTTTAATTCAGACCGTTTCTCCAGTTTGTCAAGATCATTTTTAATCCTGTCCTCCAAAGTGCTTGCAACTCCTCCCTTCCTGTAGCCTTCTTCCTGCCCTTATTCTACATGTCATCCTTTTTTAATCTACTGCTGTAGTCACCCTTCTTCAGATTCAACATTAACGTCTTCTCAAATCACTTCACTTCTTTCTTCTGATTCTTCTCTGTAACAGAAGGTAGACGTGGATAGAGGAGAAAAACAACACACATACTGTTGTGTATTACCCTGTCCATTTTTATTGTGTGTGAAGACAATCTGTTAAGTTTTGCTACTGTGTGCGTAACCATGGCAGCTCTGACATCAAAGGTGAGGTGGTTAATCTCAACGCAATCACTGAACTGTACCTTTAACATGATATGTTCATCTTTTTTTGTACTGCAGTAGCCTCAGAGCTCAAGTCATGGACCAGGAGGATCCCACTGTGCTAGGCATCGTACAAACACAGAACAAAAAGACTGTCCCTACCCCAAGGAGCTTACCATCATAGAAACCAAGTCTCAGCCCTATCTAATGTTCTCAGTTGTGCATAATTAGTGTATTAACATTTCCAGGATTAGAAATTAACTGAAAATGCAGGACAGCAGTGTGCCCTTGTTGCCAAGAAGGCCAATGGCATTTTGGGATGTATAAGTAGGGGCATAGCGAGCAGATCAAGGGGCGTAATCGTCCCCCTCTATTCAACATTGGTGAGGCCTCATCTGGAGTACTGTGTCCAGTTTTGGGCCCCACACTACAAGAAGGATGTGGATAAATTGGAGAGAGTCCAGGAAAAACTTTTTCACTAGGAGGGTGGTGAAACACTGGAATGCGTTACCTAGGGAGGTGGTAGAATCTCCTTCTTTAGAAGTTTTTAAGGGCAGGCTTGACAAAGCCCTGGCTGGGATGATTTAATTGGGGATTGGCCCTGCTTTGAGCAGGGGGTTGGACTAGATGACCTCCTGAGGTCCCTTCCAACCCTGATATTCTATGACAACAGGAAATTCCAAGGCTCTGAAAAGGAATGTTGGCAGTACAGGTTTCTTCATCAAGGAAATTATAGAGGTGCAATTGTTTTACAAAAATAGGTTGACTCAGAACAAAGCACTGACAAAGGAGGTAATGTTATAGTAATTGTCTCTCAGAAATAATAAAGAAAGCATTTCTCTTTCCAGGAGTCACAAGAGAAGGAGTCAGCTAGTACACCGATAAATGGCAAGGTTAAACCGTGTATGCAAGTCCAACATGAAGTGCAGGTGACACACTCTGACTTAAAAGAAATGAGCAGAAAATAAGTGAATCTTTAACTTCATTATATTCAAGAGAGATTCCTGAGGGTTGTACAGTCCACATATATAACTCCAATATTGAAAACAAGACATCAGGAAATTAGCAGGTACTTTGGCATTAGTTGAGGGGAGATTTACAGGAACTGTTTGAAGGGAATGTGGCGGCAGCAAGAGATAAACAGGATTTTATGTGAGCAGATGGATAGATTCAGAAAGGCAATATAGTATTAGAAGTACCCGAGAAGCCCATCTGGAATCGTGTGTATAGGGCACAAGGGATCCTTCCTGGCTGGCAGAGAGATCTGGACCTTCCCTTTGTTTTAGTGTGCTATGTTCCAGTAATCCAGGCTCAGTGAAGAGCCAAGAAAAAGAGAGAATCAAACCCTGCTTGATGTAATTTAACTTCAAAACAGGACAACTGGGCCCGTAAACTTCGTTTCATTAGGAGTGAATCAGAGCATGTAGACTCATCCCTGCCATTTAGATTTAGAATTTCTAACAGTTGAGTAGGGGTCACTGCATCAGAGCACCTTTGAGTAGCGGGGTGACAGTTCTGGCAGGAACTGTACGAGACGATGTATTGGTAGCAATCAGTGTAGAATCACAGTGGGAGTCAGCCCCATAGTTCATTTTAATCACATTTCAGGTGGTCACCAACCCTGTGTGAAATCACTTTATTTAAGAAAATGGGGGCGTGCATTTCCTGATGCGATCCAAAGTAGATGGAAATGAGCTTTTCAATTCAAAATGGAGCTGAGAAAAGAAGGGAATATGTAGGGCATTTAACACCCAGAAATGCAACCTGAGAAAGTGAATACACCCCCCGAAAAAGTGTTTGTGCCATTTCCCATTCCTAGTTCCTGACGCAAACCAGACAGCCTTCTCTTCTGGAAACAGATAAATGCTTTGATCACAGAGCTAGAACTGCTTTAAATGTTTATTAGTAGAGACTGAATCACCCTATTCTTTCAGCACCTGCTATACGAATATAACTCTCTCACACAATTGTAAGTGAACAATCCTATTGGGTACTAAGTGATGAAATACCTTTATCAATGTTGTCATCACTTAATACCTGATATGGTTGTTAATTTACCACTGGCTGTAAGCTCTGCATTATGTGCTTGTGTCTAATCTGGATCAGTGCTCTGGATCAGGAAATGCTTGCAAGCCCCTATTTTCTCTAAAAGAAAATCATAAAATGTGTATGCCTACAATAGAAAAGTGTAGATAGTCAGTTAACCAATGTTCCACCCTCAGTAAATCAATGTAAGTTCCACAGTTT